CTTTCTTTTTGTCTATTAATGAGATATCTGTTACATGATACCAAGAATAGCGAGAAAAGGAATTCATCTGATTATGCGACTTCATCGTGATCAGTTTCCTAGACAAGTGGTGCAGATACGTGCTTTGCCGCATCCTTATAACAATATGCAACCATTGCTTTGCAAGTAGCATATAATTGCTGTACGTCATTAGGTTTAGTTCCTTTTGAACGGGACGCAAATAGCATGGCAGCGCGCATGAAGTTTCGCCAAGCTGCAAACCTGATGAAAAACCCACTTCCTGCAACATTCATTAGCATAGATCAGAGATGTGCAGTGTTTCGAGATTATAGTTGGAATAGTAGAAGAATTTTCGAAATCCAGAACTGGATTTGAACCACAAAATCTGCATTTGTTATTGTACAATTTATATAAGTTCAAGTCCATTGATTAATTAGACCTGATTATGCCTATGCTGCTTTGGAAGTGGCTCAACTAAGGAAATTTGTCATCATATGGAAACAAGCCTCTAATCCACTTTTTTATATGAGTCAGTCAACATTTTCTGGGGCAGAATTCAGCGCCATAAGAATTGACTTATTTTAGAAGGCATCGGCTACTTTAATGCCGATAAATCTCGAATCGCACATTTTGCTTGCTGCCTTCAGCCTTTAGTAGCGCCTGACTTGAACTGTTAGCAAGAGAAACTCTAGTGTTTTTATTATTAGCTCACTAATACTGAAAGCCGACTTGCAGCCTTGTTTTCCTAGATTCCTCGGTGCATACAACTCCCAGAAATTTTTTTCTAAAGGGGAGAGGAGACAACTGAATAGGCATGCGGTAAGGTACTTCCATCCAACACGTTTTCGTAACCTTCCCAGACCTTCGTTTCCAATTGTTTATTTTTTACATAGTGACCAAATCACAGATTCGAAGACTGCTTCAGTTGTTCACAATACCAAGTTATTCTACGGATTCATACTTTCTGTAAACCATACTGAACTTTAGATCGACGCGATACTGGTGTAGCATATATGGACCAAGTTGATACGGCTCATCATACTGATGGGCCATTTGGATTTCTCAAATGCATACAAAGCCCGACAGTCGTTGAAGTAAGCCAGAATAAGACAATTTGTGAAGCTGGAGGAAGCAAATATAATCTCTGTCTTCAGACCACATCGTTGAGACCCCGTGAATCTGACTTTCTGATAGCATACGCCACTCCGCCAACGTATGTTTCTTGGCGTAATAGTCTTCGAGGCAGTTGGTTTGTGCAAGCGATTTGTGAGGTAAAGCAAGCGATTTTTTTCTTCTTACGCTGTCGTGGGATTCTGTTTAGGTATTTGCTAAGCATGCGCGTGATATGGATATTCTGCAGTTACTCACAAGAGTAAATCAAAGGGTTGCAGAGTGCTTCCAGACAAACTGCTCTTCTTCATACAAGCAGGTAAGGCCTTTTTGGTGTAAGCTGCCATATCATATCATAGCTT